AGGAGTATTCCTTGACTTGCTCATTGGAGGGTCCAACTCTATTTGTCTCCAAAATCTTGCCCATGAGGAAGCAGCAGAGAATCCTCCCCCGTGCTGCTCCTGCTGGATGCTGGCTGCAGAGCTGCCTCCGGAGCAGCCAGGGGGAGCACAGGGGGTCCTGGCGTTGGTCCCCTGGCTCTGGAGACACTTTGGTTGCAGCCAACACACCTTGGGGCTCTGCTGGGAGGCATGGCCAGCAGCAGGAAGCCCCTGCTCCCTCACCTGGGTCACAGCAAGGGCAGGCAACTCTCCAGGCTGGGGAAGGGCCCGGTGGAAAGGGAGCTGGGGGTGCTGGTGGGCAGCTGGCTGGAGATGAGCCAGAGGGTGACCAGTGGCCAAGAAGGCCACCAACATCCTGGCTTGGATCAGAAACAGGGTGGGCAGAAGGAGGAGGAGGTGATTGTGCCCCTGGGCTGGGCACTGGGGAGGCCACAGCTTGAGCACTGGGGTCAGTTTTGGGCACCACAGGATCAGAAAGACCTGGAGGGGCTGGAGCGGGTCCAGAGAAGGGCAGTGAAGCTGGGGAGGGGTCTGGGGAACATGGCTTGTGAGGAGCAGCTGAGGGACCTGGGGGGGTTTAGTCTGGAGCAGAGGAGGCTCAGGGGAAACCTTCTGGCTCTGCACAGCGACTGACAGGAGCCTGGAGCGAGGTGGGAGTTGGGCTCTGCTCCCAAGGAACCAGCAATAGGACAAGGGGCAATGGGCTGAAGTTGCCCCAGGGGAGGTTTCAGTTGGATCTCAGGAAGAATTTCTCTCCTGGCAGAGTGGTGAGGCCTTGGCCCAGGCTGCCCAGGGAGGTGGGGGAGTCCCCAGCCCTGGAGGGCGTCAGAACACGGGTTAAGGTGGCGCGTGGGGAGATGGTTTAGTGGTGATGGGAGTGTTGGGTTGATGGTTGGACTTGAAGATCTCAGAGCTCTTTCCCACCCTTCCTGGCTCTGTGCTGGAGAGACAGGAGGGGCCAGGATTGATACAGGCCAAGGCAGCCCCAAGGTGCCCCTGTCCCACCCCACCAGGCTCTGCCCCGGGAGCTTCCCTGGGGAAATATCCTTTAAAAAGAAAGCAAACTTGAGCTTCCCTGGGGTCTCCTGTCAGTCCCAGCCGTGAGATGTTCTACTCTGAAACAGGCAGAGCCCTCATACTGCAGAGGGAGAAAACCTCCACCCGTGTCAAACGCTCCCAGGGGCTTCTTCTCCTCTTAAATACCATCAATTCAGAGCAGAAGTCCTGGCACGTGGCAGCAGATCCCCAAGGAACCTGTGAGGAGACACAAACCCTGGGATTGAGTCAGTGCTCGTGCTCCTGGCTACAAAATGGGCTGTAGCTCAATTAATGAGGTTGCCTTGATGAGGGTTTAATGACTCCCTGAGGCCAGGCACCCCCCGTGGACATGGGGCTGGGGTTCACCAGCGCTGGTGTGCAGAACATCTGATCTCAACTCCTTCATTTTTCTGATCTCATCGCCTACTTTGGGAATAAAATTGAAAGGCCTTGAAAAGATGTCTGTGTGGCTGGGCTTGGAAGAGAGCTGATACCATCTGAGACAGCAATTATTTATCCTCCTTTGTCATACAACGTGCAGCATATGGGTCCCTTTCTCCACCGTGGATGACTAAATGATGGCATCTGGTGCTCTATTATCTCACGAGTGCAAAGCAAACGAGCAAAGCTCCCCTGCAAACAGCACTTTGCTCTTCTCACAAAGCCCCTCTTGATATTTCCATGCCAAGGTGTCGATTGGCTGCCAGCTTTCAAACCCTCCCCTGTGCAGACCTGGTTCTTGGAGGATGCCCAGATCGTTGGGGAAGGGTGTTTTTTTCTTCCCCTGAACGTCTCAGCTGGTCCCTGCAGATGGCATCCCTCTGTCACCTGCTGTGGCCATCATCTGCTGCTCAGATGGGACCCCCCAGCAGAGCCCTTGGTGCCTGTCACTGCTCAGAGCAGCTCGAGCAGCAGCGTGGGTTGGAGCAGACTTGGGGAGTGCCAGAGCTCGGGTCCCTCAGAGGGCAGCCCGGGCACCCAGGGGTGGTGCCAGCACCCCCTTCCCCTGCACGTGGACAGCAGGACACAGAGCTGAACATCACTGCAAAGGTTCCTGGCTTGGTGGCACTTGAGAGCAGGGAGGGTGCTGGCAGGAGAAGGGAGTTGGGGTTCACCATCACATGGAGACCCCCTGTGAGGGTGGGGTTGGAGATTTTCTCAGGTCTGTCCTTTGGGAGGACCTTGAGGAGGAATTACTTGGACTTGGCTGAGCTGAGAGCATCCAGCCCCACGGGGAAGGAGCACCCTCTGAAGTGAAGGATCTCCTCACCACACTGGTGGTGTTGTCATGGTTAACCCAGGCCCAGGCCTGAAGGATTCCTGGGGGGATTCATCCAGCAGCATCTGCAACGTGCCACCACTTCGTGCTTGTCTCTTTTCTCCTCCATTTCCCACGTGCAGAATCAGAATCACACAATGGGTTGGGTTGGAAGAGACCTCGGACATGTTCCAACCCCCTGCCATGGGCAGGGACACCTCCCACTAGAGCAGGCTGCTCAAAGCCCCATCCAACCTGGTCCTGAACACCTCCAGGGATGGAGCATCCACAGCTTCCCTGGGCAACCTGGGCCAGGGTCTCACCACCCTCAGAGTGAAGAACTTCTCCCTAATTTCTAATCTAAATCTCCCCTCTTCCAGTTTGAACCCATTACCCTACAAGCCCTTGTCTAAGTCCCTCCCCATCTTTCTTCAATACCCCCTTCAGATACTGGAAGGCCACCAGAACCTCTCCCTGGAGCCTTCTTTTTTCCAGGCTGAACAATCCCAACTCTCTCATCCTGGCCTCACAGGAGAGGATTTCCAGCCCTCTGACCATCTTGATGGTCCTCCTGGCCCCACTCCAGCAGATCCACATCCTTGTGTTGGGGGCTCCAGAGCTGGACACGGTCCTTTGGGTGAGGTCTCACCAGAGTGGGGTGGAGCAGGAGAATCACCTCACTCCACCTGCTGGCCACCCCTCCAGCAGAGGCCCAGGGGCAGCCCTGGAGAGCCTTGCCATGAAGCCCTGTGCTGAGAACGTGTGGACCTGTTTATTTTAGGACGTGATTAATGTTGCTCTGTTTTTTCCAGGCCTGTTTTCGTTCAGGCAGCGAGCTTTGCCAGCACGAAACGTTCTGTTTGGGAGCAAAGCCCAGCAAATTGGCCCCTGCTTTCAAACACCAGGGAGGAGGGGGCAGGGGATGCTATTTTCTGCTCTCCAGCAAAGAGGAGCGCAGAGAATTCAGCGAGGAGAAATGGGCCAGGCTGCCGAGCTGCAGGCAGGAGAGGAACGAGGTGGATTTGGCCACGAGGGCCAGGGAGGGGCTGGTTTCCCTCCAGTGTGTTCTGTGCTCTGAATGAAGGCTGCTGGGGGGGGTTGTGGAGTCCTGCTGGGGCCCAGGTGGTGCCAGCAGAAGGGTTTGTGTTGCCCCAGCGCCGAGCGGAGCAGCTCGGGAGCTTCGGGCGAGGTGGTGTGTGAGGTGGGGAGGAGAGGACAGGTTCCTCAGCAGCACTGGGGGCTAGGAGGGTGGAGAACACATGTCTGGCTCTAGAATCATAGAATCATAGAATCATTTAGGTTGGAAGGGACCTCCAAGATCATCAAGTCCACCCATTGAGCCATTAGGGCTCTAAAGTCCTCTGCTACAACAGATCAGAATCTGTCAGGGTTGGAAGGGACCACAAGGATCCCCCAGTTCCAACCCCTCTGCCATGAGCAGGGACACCTCCCACTAGATCAGGCTGCCCAGAGCCTCCTCCAGCCTGGCCTTAAAGACCCCCAGGGATGGGGCCTCACCCACCACCCTGGGCAACCCATGCCAGGGTCTCACCACTCTCCTGAGCATGAAAAGGACGTGACTGGGTTGTCTGGGGCTGCAGAGAGGTGCAGCTCTTCAGCCCAGCACCATCTCCCGTGGTGGCACCACTCCAAGCAGAGCCAGCTCTCCATGAAGCTTTGGAGGCTCCTTGTGGCACCTGCACACCCTTCTGCTGGCGTTTTTCACCCTCTGGAGCAGTCTCTAGTTGTTGAACTGTTCTGGGTCTTTCCCACGTGCTTCCCAAGTCCCTGGCACCTCTCTGAGGGTTGTGGTCTGCTGCAGTTCTCATCAAGAACAGTGCCTGGAGAAGGGAGTGGGGCAGATGTGAAGCTTTGCTCACATCAGAGCAGTCACAGCTCTTGCCAGGGTCTCAGTGCCACCATTCTCTGCTCCTCAGTGCCACCAGCACTGTCTGCATTGTCCCCATGAGTGGCGTGGGGTGCCACAGTTTGGAGGTTAAAGCTGGTTGCCATTGCCAAGGACCCCACAGAATCATAGAATGCTTGGGTTGGAAGGGACCTCCAAAGGTCATGTAGTCCCCTGCAATAAGCAGGGACATCTCCAACTAGGTCAAGCTGCTCAGAGCCTCATCCAGCCTGACCTTGAATGTCCCCAGGGATGGGGCCTCCACCACCTCTCTGGGTGACCTCTTCCAGTGATCCATCACCTTCCTATTGAAGAACTTGTTCCTAGTGTCTAACCTAAATCTCCCCTTTTCTACCTTAAGCCACTAATGGTTTGGGTTGGAAGGGACCTTTGGAGGTCACCTGGTGTTTGTTCTCACCCATGTCAGATGATTGGTAGGTCAGAGCCTCCCCTCCGGTCTCTGCCTGGGCAGGGTTCTCCTGGTGGCCCACAGAGCTGCTCTTGGAGACCCTCTGGTGCTGCATATCCCCAGCTCCCCATCCTGCTGCAGCTCTGCCCGTGGAGATGCCAGGTTGGAGGAGCCACAGCAGCTTCTGGAGCCCGAGAACTTCTTCAATCCTCTCCCTTGGCCCGAGCCCCGCCGCGGGTCGGTCCCCTCCTTACAGACAGCCTTGAACTTGTGCTCTGGGGGCTCCTCTGGGGCCAGAGGAGGGAGATGATCCCCACGTCCCCTGATGCCCCCTCCTCCCTCTCTTGCAGCTGACGTACCTGCCACCCCCCTGGGGCGAGTGTCGCTCGGCGGACCTGGGCTTAGACTTCTTTCCCGTTTACAGCATCACAGCTTGCAGGATCGACTGCGAGACCCGCTACATCGTGGAGAACTGCAACTGCAAAATGGTCCACATGCCAGGTCCGTGTGCCCCGGGGGGCAGGGACCCCTCCCTCCACCCTGCCCGGGACCCCGGGGGGAGCTGGAAAGGGAGAGGGGGTGAGAGGAGCTTTCCCCAAGGGAAAAAAAGGGATCTAAGAGGCTTTGCCCAGTGCCCTGAGACAGGGGCAGGAGTTGAGGGGGGGCACACATGGGGCTGGTTGCCCCTTATGGAGCCCCCAGTTAGCACCCTTGGGTGGTGGTTGCAAGAAGAGCCCCCCCACAGCAGGCAGAGCTGGGGCAGAGGCTGGGATCTCCCCCAGCCCGGGGTCACCTCGCTGCAGGGGGGTCCCTGTGGTGCTGGCAGTGCCCAGCTCCTGGTGGCTGATGGCTGCTGATGGATGGATGTGTCCTTTCCACGCAGGGGATGCTCCCTTCTGTACCCCAGAGCAGTACAAGGAGTGTGCAGAGCCTGCTCTCGGTGAGTACCAGGAGCCACCTCTGGGTACCACGGGTGTCCCAAGCTGGGGGCACTCCCAGCAGTCGTGTGTCCTCCTGGCTGGAGGGACTGAGGTGATCTGGAGCAGTTGCAACCCAGAGATGGGTTTTGATGTGACCCAGCTTGGTGGAGAGGACTGGGTGCAACCTGGGATAAAGCTTCTTCTGGTTCTACGTGGGACATGAGTCTCCATCAGCACAGGAACCCTCAGGATAATGGGAACTCCAGGATCCGTGGGAGGGGAGCTCCTCTGGGGCTGGGTTTGGGATGGAGGGACCCATTCTAGGTCTGGATTTAGGAGATCCAATCACTGCGTGTTCCCCGAGCAGATGCTGGCAGCAGAGTGTAGCCTCCAGCAGAAGGCCTCTCCCCGAGGTGCTGGGGATGGCTGTGCAATGAAGTGGGAGAGAAGTGGCCAGGGCTGAGTCCCTGCAAAGCAGATGCTGGCAGTAGAGATGCTTCCAGCAGAAGGCCTCTCCCTGAGGTGGTGGGGATGGCCGTGCAATGAAGCTGGGGAGAAGTGGCCAGGGCTGAGTCCCTGCAGCTCCTCTGGCCCCTCTCTGGGTGGCACAGCCTCGCTGTGTGTCCTGACCCCATGAGACCTGACTCTGGCCCTCTCCAGGTTTGCTTGCTGAGAAGGACAGCAATTACTGCATCTGCAGGACACCCTGTAACCTGACCAGATACAACAAAGAGCTCTCCATGGTCAAGATTCCCAGCAAGACCTCGGCCAAGTACCTGGAGAAGAAGTTCAACAAGTCAGAAAAATATATCTCGTGAGTGTTGTGGAAACCAGATCTCCTTTGCTTCGTGTGGGAAAGGGTCTGCAGAGCCTCACTGGCTGCTGAAACCAGCCTGAGCTAACCCCAGACCTTGCCAGTGCCCCCTTCTCCCACCAGAGGTGTGTCCTCCATGGAGGGTTAGGGTGAAAACCTTGAAGAGATAAGGTGTAGATTGCTTTCTTCTCAGTAGATGTGTTTCCAGACAACTCTACGTTCCTTCCATGGGTGTTTCTTTATGAGCATTCTCCATACCCACCACAAAAAGTGGAAGAACTCCTCTTATGTTGATGGGAGAGCCCAGTCTTGCTGGGTCTGTCTGAGATGTGGCTGCTCTCTACCTAAATCTGGGCTCTGCACGTCAGGCAGACACTGTCTCAGACCTCTCCCAGCCCTGGGAACGTTATTGCCCTGTGGAGGCATCAAGAGTTGTTCCATCTTAAGCATCCTTTGGACTCTTCCTCTTACCACCAAAGTGAGATCCAGGACTCAGAGCTTGAGAGATCTTGGGGAAACATTTTCCAGCTTCTGCTAAGGCTGCAGAGTCCTGGCAGTGCTCTGTGGTTGTGGCCTCCAGGAAGTCCAAGTGTCTGTGGGTTGCTGAGGACCCTGGAAGGAGAGCAGGCAGGACAGAGGGGAATAAAGTCCCAAAGTCCTTTTTCTTTTCCTTCTCCCAAAGCACACGAGGCTGCTGGTGGCTGATGGGTTGATGCTGTTGTCCTCTTTCTACAGAGAGAATATTCTTGTGCTGGACATATTTTTTGAAGCACTCAACTATGAGACAATTGAGCAGAAGAAAGCCTATGAAGTGGCAGCCTTACTTGGTAAGGAGAGATCAGGGGGTGGTTTGGAGTCTGGGTGAGCCTGGGCTGGAGTCCCTGGGTGGTTCTGGGACAGGCAGATGCTGTGAGTGGGTCCACAGCTTTTGTGCATCACCTTGAGACTCCCAGCAAGGTCCAGACACCAGCCTGGCCAGCAGGCTTTCAACCCCAGCTCTTATTTTCCTTCCAACACCAAGCTGTCCAGGAATGTCCCAGGGACCACAGCTAGTCCATGTGTCACCAGAGGAAGGTTAATGTGAGCTGCTCCACCTCTGCTTGCTACCAGGACGCTGTTCTTTGGAAATCCTAGGGTGATGGATGTTCTTCGAGGTTCTCCTCATGCTAGAAGGACAGTGTGTGGAGAAGGACAGCTCTTAAAACCATCCACCCATCACCTCTTATGTGCTCCAAATCCTTCCCCCTTTCCAGCCAGGCCCCTGAGCTCTTTGCCTTTGGGTGGTGCCCCTCAGCTTGATGAAGAAGGTGGAGGAGTTGTTGGGTTGCTCAGCCTCAAACTGGGTGAAGCTTTATGGGGGCCAGCTACAGATTTGGGTGTGTGGGACCCATTGGGTTTGGGGGTGGAGGTGTTCTGTGCCCACACTCAGCCTTGCAGCCCCTCCACGTGCCACCCCAAGGCCCCAGGTCCCTCCTGGGCTGCAGGGTGTGGTAGCTCCTTTGTTGGAAGGCTGGAGCTGGGTCACCTCATGGGGCTGGGTGCTGGGAGCCTGCCCTGGGACAGGGACACTGCACTTTGCCCCTAAGCACCTTTCTTCCTCTTTCTTCCTCTACCTCGGGGTCACCCACAGCGAGGGAGGTCCCATAGCCCCTCCACCTGCTGGTGCCTTTGCTCTGGGGAGAAACACAGGTGGAGCACAGGGGTCCTGCAGCAAAGCCTGTGAGATGGGTCTTCCCTGGAGCACAGCATCTCATGTCCACAGTTGTCCTTCCAGCAGATTCCTGGAAGCCTCCTCCAGAGCCCTTCCCTGGGGCACTCGAGCAGAGACAGCCTTGAGATGCTCCTCTAAAATTCAGGCCATCTCCCAGTCCTCTTTTTGGCAGGTCTGAGTTTTTCCTCAGCTCCAGGGGACGTTACCTAATTCTTCTCCAGCATCTTTCTCCTCCCCCCTGCCAGTTTGGGAATTGGGCTCTGGGATTCCTGTCTCCCTGACAGATGGCTTCCTAGGCTCACATCCTCATTAGGCTTCCAGCCAACGGCCTCGTTAGCAGGAGGGATGCTTTGGTGGCCAGCAACGTCCTTCCTGGGATGCTTCTCAAGCCTTGGAGCTGTTGGTGTTCCTGGGAGGGTCACCCCTTGGATTTCCCTTGGACTGGGGACAGCAGCACCCAGGGCAGCTGCACCGTGGTGGTGTGGGTGCCTCTAGGAGCGTTGACCCCAGGGGTGAAGCCCAGCCACGTGTTGTCCTCTCTTGTAGGTGACATTGGAGGCCAGATGGGGCTTTTTATCGGTGCTAGCATCCTCACTATCCTAGAGCTCTTCGATTATATATACGAGGTAAGACCCTCCCCCTTTTGCCTCCTTCCTCTGCTGGGGGTGGGTTTGCCAGCCTCGATGCCAGCCTGGGTGGTCCTGGGCCAGCACCCTCCATGCCAACGTGCCCACGTGGGTTATTAACCCCATTTGACCCATAGTAACCCACCATTTTAACGAGGCTACGTCATTAACGCTCTCTTGGTCACGGCTCTGGAGCCTGGGGAGGAGGTCCCTGCATCAAGGAGGGCTTTCCAAGGTAGCCATGGCCATAGCCAGGCTTCCTCAGCACCCTGAAGAGTGTGGGTGCCTGCTAATGAGGTTTGCTTCTCCCTGGAGCTAATTAAACACCACCTTCATGGGGCTGTGCTGCTCCCCCCCCACTCCCCTGGAGCTTGGGGTGCTGGCTGGGGACCTCCTGCTGCAGCCCCCTGTCCCCAGCCTCAGTTGGGCTTCTCCCAGCAGCACGCTGGGCTCATCCTCTCATAAAACCACCTTTAATTAATGCCCGGGTCCCAGTCCAGCCATCAGGCACCTTGTACCACTGCTGGGGGGTGGGAAAATCCCCAGGCCCTTCCCTGTGAGCACAGAGGCAGATTCCAGCTGCCCTCTGCACCTTCCTGCCATTGAGACCTTTTCCACCCCACTTTTTCACCTAAATGAGCCCAAGGAACCCTCCCTGGAGCACCCTCCCTGCCAGTCATCCATTTGCCCTCCCAGTCTTCATCACCAGGTTGCAGAAGGCTTTGTGTTGCAGGGTCAGGCTCATTATTTTTGTTTAGAAAAGGGGAAACAGAGGCAGGGAGAGGGGCTGCAGCTGGATACGAGCTGCTGAGGAGCACCTGGTTTGCACCAAGATGACCTCAGGGACCTCAACAGTCAAGCGTGTCTCCTGTTTTATAGCAGCAAAGAACGAGTTGGTGGCTTGGGATGGTTTCAAGGAGGATGCAAACATTCAAGGAGACAAGCAATTCCCAACAAATTTGGCACATCCCAGCCCAAAGTCACAGAGTCAGGGAGTCACAGAGTGCTGGGGGTTGGAAGGGACCTCTGGAGATCATCAAGTCCAGCCCCCCTACCAGAGCAGGACCATCTAATCTAGGATAGATCTCATCTCCTTGGATATCTGGGGAGGCACCAACAGGTTCACCCAACTGTGCCCCACACAGAACATCTTCACGGCCACTCATGACAAGATATTTAACCCAGCTCAGACAGGGAGAAAAGGAATAAAATGTCTTCAAAACGATGCCTCACCTGCTTGGCTGATCTGATCTGCTCAGGGGTTCATCAGGGTGGGGTTCAGCCCACCTAAAACTCATTCTGTTCTCAGCCAAGGTGTCTGTAACTCTCTGAGATGCCAGCAGATGGGATCGACGGTTGTTCTCCAGTGGTTTAGCCAAAATCTGATGAAATTTTGCCCCTGGAGATGGATTTTTCCCATCGTTTGCTCAGGGTAATCCTCCTTGTGGTCCTGCCCCCGGGCAGAGTTGTGCTCCTGGGCTCATCAGGGTCCTGAATCCCCACCATGCATCTTGGAGTTCCCACCAGCATCCACCTCACTTCCTTAGGAACTGACCTAGTTCTTCACACTTTTCAGCTCTCTGATTTTTTCCATTTTCCCCCAGTGCAAGTTTTTCAGCAAAACACTCACTTTTCAAGCTTTTCTGAGATTTCCCTTGAAAACACCTTCTTCAGCAGCAGGGGCTGCAGGGAAATAACGTGGCTGTGAAGGGGAACGGTGCTCACCTAGCTGACACTTCTCAATAAACCCTCAAATAGATTTTGAAAATTGAGGTGTAGGGTTGTTTATTTTTTTTCACGGGTAGAATTGAATTGTGGCACCCCGGGTAGTTTTCTTGGAAAGATTGTCTCCTTCTCTGCATCCTTTGGAGGGTGTCCTCCAAACCTGGCGTGTGGGGTGAGGCTGCTCCATGCCTTGTGGATGCCCAAGCAGGCAGGGCAGAGAATCATGGAATATGTTGGGTTGGAAGGGACCTCCAAAGGTCATCTAGTCCAACCCCCCTGCTATAAGCAGGGACATCTCCAATTAGGTCACGTTGGTCAGGGCTCTACCAAGCCTGACCCTGAACATCTCCAGAGATGGAGCTTCCATGTGGAAGCACAGAATATGTTGGGTTGGAAGGGACCTCTAAAGGTCATCTAGTCCAACCCCCCTGCTAGAAGCAGGGACATCTCTAAGTGAGGTTCCTCAGAGCTCTATCAAGCCTGACCTTGAACATCAGCAGGGATGGGGCCTCAACGGAGTGGAGTCATAGAATGTGTTGGGCTGGAAGGAGCCTCTAAAGGTCATCTAGTCAAACCCCCCTGCAATAAGCAGGGACTTCCTGGATAATGTTCTACAGTAGAAGCAAGAAATAGTCATGACAAAAAAGTATGCTTAACATTTTAGTACTCTTTTCTACCAAACCAAATGAAAGATAACAGGGACTAGAGATTACCTTGCCTAAACAAAGCTTCCTTGCTTGAAAGTCATCCTTTACACATGTAGGCAGCCTTTGTCAGACATTACAATGTCAAGGTTTCTACTTCTAGTAATAGTAGCTGTGATATGCATGATCACATCATTAGTTATATTGCCTTTTATGGTGGAAATAATAATCTGTGACATGCCTATGTTATTTAGCTTCTTCCAAGTCATAAACACATCTATAGTGACTCCACTTTTCATGTCCCACCACTAGTCTGGTATCATTTCCAGCTGTACCTTTGACAGTCAGAAACCATAATTAATTTCAGACTAGTCCAAGCCCCCGCTACAAGCAGGGGCATCTCCAACTAGGTCAGGTTGCTCAGGGCTCTACCAAGCCTGACCTTGAACATCTCCAGGGATGGGGCTTCCACATGGAATCATAGAATATGTTGGGTTGGAAAGAACCTCTGAAGGTCTTCCCTACTGCCCACCTTAACCCCCCCTCCCTTTTTTTGCAGCTGATCAAGGAGAAACTATTAGACCTACTGGGGAAGGAGGAAGAGGAGGGAAG